GGATGGGTACCTACAGGGAGCCGGCTGGGTACCCCTACCCACCAGCGGCCGCCGGGGTACCTGCCGGGAGCTACCCCTACCCATCCAGCGGCCGCCGGATGGGTACCTGCCGGGTGCCGGCTGGGTACCCCTACCCAACCAGCGGCCGCCGGATAGGTACCTGCCGGGAGCCGGCTGGGTACCCCTACCCTACCCAGCGGCCGCCGGATGGGTACCTGCCGGGAGCCGGCTGGGTACCCCTACCCATCCAGCGGCCGCCGGATGGGTACCTGCCGGGTGCCGGCTGGGTACCCTTACCCAACCAGCGGCCGCCGGATGGGTACCTGCCGGGAGCCGGCTGGGTACCCCTACCCATCCAGCGGCCGCCGGATGGGTACCTGCCGGGTGCCGGCTGGGTACCCCTACCCAACCAGCGGCCGCCGGATTGGTACCTGCCGGGAGCCGGCTGGGTACCCCTACCATCCAGCGGCCGCCGGATGGGTACCTGCCGGGTGCCGGCTGGGTACCCCTACCCAACCAGCGGCCGCCGGATGGGTACCTACCGGGAGCCAGCTGGGTACCCCTACCCATCCAGCGGCCGCCGGATGGGTACCTACCGGGTGCCGGCTGGGTACCCATATAGCTGCCGGATGGGTATCTGCCAGGAGACGGCCTGGTACCCCTATCCATACAGCGGTCGCCGGATGGATGTCTGCCAGACGCCGGCTGGGTACCCCTACCCATGCCATGCTCGTTCCCTGCGTGGATTTTTGCAAAGGGCTGGCGTGTTTCTAGGAGGAGCCCTGGTATGCTCGCTCCCTGCATAAAACAAATTGCCAAAGGTTTGCTCGTTTCTAGGCAGAATTTGGGTTTCCCCTCCCCTTTCCCTTTCCTCCTTCCATGTTCGCCCATCCCGGCTACCCTCGTTCGCACAGGGCCGGCGTGTTTCTAGAAGGAACCCTCGTTCCCCCATTGTTTGTTGGATGTCCCCTGGATCCTGACGGTGCGGCTTTTTCCGAATGCTTGCGTTTCTCCCACATGGAGCTGGCCCTGGCCATGCTCGCTCCCTGCATGGGCTTTTGCGAAGGGCTGGGGTTTTCTGGGAGGAACCCTGGTTTGCTCGCCCCCTGCATACACAATTTGCCCAGGGTTGGCTCGTTTCCAAACAACGTGGGTTTCCTCTCCCCCTCCCTTTTCCTCCTTCCTTCCATGTTCGCCCATCCCGGCTACCCAGCCTTTTGCTCTGTCCGTTTTTGCTTACGCTTCTTCGTGCTATTTCGCACAGGGCCGGCTTGTTTCTAGGAGGAACCGTCGTTCCCCTATGTTTCTTGCTGGATGTCCCTTGGTTCGTGACAGCGCGGCTTTTCCTAGAAGCTTGCGCGTTCTCCCACATGGGGCTGGCCCTGGACATGCTCGCTCCTCGCATGGACTTTTGCGAAGGGCTGGCGTGTTTCTATGAGGAACCCTGGTATGCTCGCCCCCTGCATACACAATTTGCCGAGGGTTGGCTCGTTTCTGGTCACAACCTGGGTTTCCCCTCCCCCTCTCCACTCCTCCTCTTCCTCCTCCTCCTTTTCCTCCTCCTCCTTCTCCTCCTTTTCCTCTTCCTCCTACTCCTTCTCCTCCTATTCCTCCTCCTCCTCCTCCTCCTCCTCCTCCTCCTCCTCCTCCTCCTCCTCCTCCTCCTCCTCCTTCCATGTTGGCCCACCCCGGCTACCCAGCCTTTTGCTTGTCCGTTTTTGTTTATGGTTTTTCATGCTTTTTCGCGCAGGGGTTGCTTGTTTCTAGAAGGAACCGTCGTTCCCCAATGTTTTGCTGGATGTCCCCTGGTTCGTCACAGCGCGGTTTCTCCCAGAGGTTCGCGATTTCTCCTGCAAGGGGCTGGCCCTGTCCACGCTCGCCCCTTGCACGGATTTTTGCGAAGGGCTGGCGTGTTTCTAGGAAGAACCCTGGTTTGCTCGCCCCCTGCATACACAATTTGCCGAGGGCTGGCTCGATTCTAAGCACAGCCTGGGCTTCCCCTCCCCTTCCCCTCTCCTCCTCCTTCCATGTTTGCCCACCCCGGCTACCCAGCCTTTTGCCCTGTCCGTTGTTGCCTACGTCTCTTCGTGCTCTTTCGCACAGGGCCGGCTTGTTTCTAGAAGGAACCGTCGTTCCTTCATGTTTTTTGTTGGATGTCCTTTGGTTCGCGGCAGTGCGGTTTCTCCCAGAGGTTTGCGCTTTCTCCCGCATGGGGCTGGCCCTGGCCATGCTCGCCCCCTGCACGGAGTGTTGCGAATCGTTGGCGCGTTTCTAAGAGAAGCCGTGGTTTGCTCGCCCCCTGCATACACAATTTGCCGAGGGCTGGCTCGTTTCTAGGCACAACCTGGGTTTCCCTTCCCCCTCCCCGCTCCCCCTCCTCCTCCTTCCACGTTCGCCCATCCCGGCTACCCAGCCTCTTGCCTTGTCCGTTTTTGTTTACGTCTCTTCGTGCTCTTTCGCGCAGGGGTCGCTTGTTTCTAGAAGGAACCGTCGTCCCCCCATGTTTTGCTGGATGTCCCCTGGTTCGCGACAGCGCGGTTTCTCCCAGAGGTTCGCGCGCTCTCCCACGTGGGGCTGGCCCTGGACATGCTCGCCCCTTGCACGGAGTTTTGCGAAGGGCTGGCGTGTTTCTAAGAGAAACCCTGGTTTGCTGGCCCCCTGCATACACAATTTGCCCAGGGCTGGCTCGATTCTAAGCACAGCCTGGGCTTCCCCTCCCCCTCACCTCTCCTCCTCCTTCCATGTTCGCCCACCCCGGCTACCCAGCCTTTTGCCCTGTCCGTTGTTGTTTACGTTTCTTCGTGCTCTTTCGCACAGGACCGGCTTGTTTCTAGAAGGAACCGTCGTTCTTTCATGTTTCTTGTTGAATGTTCCTTGGTTCGCGGCAGTGCGGTTTCTCCCAGAGGTTTGCGCTTTCTCCCCACATGGGGCTGGCCCTGGCCATGCTCGCCCCCTGCGCGGACCCAGGCGATCGCGGTTGACTCATTTAGGCGCGCCGGACTAAGTTAAGCGCTGCGGTTTAAAGTTAAGCGCGCCGGACTAATTTAAGCGCTCGAATGGTTAATCTTGCGCGTATCACATATATGATATGGCCTCATAACACTTATAAGCAAAACAGAAGCAAATGTAGACAACATGAATGAGAGTCAAGCGAAGACGATTGATGACTTAAGCGCAAATGACAAATAATGAAACGTATCGGGCGTCCGAATGCGGCGGCACGTCGCACTGCCATGTGGTCGACCTCCTGGGACCTTCAGGGGCGGGAGCACAGCAACTCAGATGTTGCCGTGGTGATACACGGTTTCGAAACGTAAATATGGGGCGGCCCTCCCCGCTCTCGCGGGGCGGCCTGGTGTGAGCGGGGATGGGAGGCGGCGGCCCTCCCCGCCCTCGCGGGGCGGCCTTGCCGCGTAGCGGGGTCGAGGAGCTCGGAGGCGGCGGCCCCGCCCTCGGGGGCCGACTCACCCGCCTTTACGGATGGATGGATGGATGGATATGTGGATGGCTGGATGGATGCATGGATGGATGGTTGGATGGAGGATGGATGGATGCCGCTTTTCGGGGACCAATGAGCTAGAACAAGAGGTCCCCACTTCGGGGACCTCTTAATCATACGCACGGGTCGGCTATGAAGCTATGCAATCGAATGCTGAATGGATATCGGCCTCCACATTGCATGGATGTCCCAGGCGATTCGCTTACTGCACAGGGCGGCACCCCCCGGACGTCCGCATGGCTTCGATCGGTTTGGACGCGACCATGGCGACGAAACGATTTCGAATGCGCCGCCGCCGCCGTCGCCGCGCCCAAGCTCCCCAGGCCTGTTGTTATCAGTCTTTACCCCGCGCGAACGGTTCTGCGGCATCGACGCGCGATGAGTTGAGGTGCGTTTAGGGCACGTCGGCGGGGGGGCGAGGAGCACGAGGAGGATAAGAGGAGACCACCCGACCATCAGCAACTGGCAACTTAGCGCGCGGTCCGCGCAGTTCCGTTCAGAATGAAGGAGAGGGGGGAGGAGGAGGAGGAGGAGCAGCAGGAAGAGGAAGAGGAGGTGGAGGAGGAAGAGGACAAGAAAGACACGATCGGCGGCGTACAGTGCAGCCTTGTAAAATTAAAAACTGTGCCAGAGCGAGGTTGGGCTGCCCTCGTCGCAACTGAAATCGCGGGGCACAGGCAGCTGGCCCCCGCAGAGAGATGTGGCTCAAGCCACGGGCATCCTATTCAGATTCCTCCCCCTCCTCCCCCTCCTCCTCCTCCTGCTCCTCCTCATCCTCTTTCGCCTGTTCCTTCTCCTCCTCCTCCTTCTCCGCCTCCTCCTCCTCCTCCGCCTCCTCCTCCACCTCCTCCTCATCCTTATCCTCATCCTCCTCCTCCTCCTCATCATCCCCCCAGTGGGCCCCAGATGTCGTGAGTGTCGACTGGTTGCCGCTGTCCCGTCGGTCGTTGCGTATCCTTGGCTGGCGTTGCTGCCCCCGCTGCTGTTGCTGCTGGTGCTTCTATTCCTCCTCCTCATCAGCGTCACCACCACCATCACCGCCATCATCGTCATCAGCATCAGCATCGCCACCACCATCATCATCATCATCAGCATCATCATATTCGTCGCCGTCGTCGCCGTCCTCATCCTCATCTGTATCATCATTATCCCCCTCCTCATCCTCCTCCTCCTCCTCATCATCATCATCATGTCATACGTATCCTCCTCCTCCTCCTCATCATCATCATCGTCGTCATTATCATGATCATCATCGTCCGCATCATCACCATCAGCATACTCATCAGCAGCAGCATCAGCATCATCATCATCAACATCATCATCAACATCGTCATCATCATCATCATCATCATCATCGTCATCATCGTCACCGTCATCATCATCATCAACATCATCAGCATCCTCATCATCATTCATCCGCATCCAGTGCACTGGCAGCTCACACCTGGCTCTCAGGCAGGGCGTGGCTCTCGGGCACGGCGTCGACCTGCTGGCTCTCGGGCTAGTTGACCTGGCTCTCGGGCGCGCCGTCGACCTGGCTCTCGCTCAGGGGCAAATTGGTCTGGCTCTCGGGCGCGCCGTCGACCTGGCTCTCGGGCTGGCTCTCGGGCGGGGCGCCGACCTGGCTCTCGGGCTGGGCGTCGACCTGGCTGTCGGGCTGGCTCTCGGGCGGGGCGCCGACCTGGCTCTCGGGCTGGGCGTCGACCTGGCTCTCGGGCTGGGCATCGACCTGGCTCTCGGGCGTGTTGTAGACCTGGCTCTCGGGCGTGGCGTCGACCTGGCTCTCGGGCTTGGCGTCGACATGGCTCTCGGGGTGGGCGCCGACCTGGCTCTCGGGAGGGCCGTCGACCTGGCTATCGGGCTTGGCGCCGACCTGGCTCTCGAGCTGGCCGCTGCTCTTGCTGTCGGGGGGGGGGGGGGGGGGGGGGGGGGGGGGGGGGGGGGGGGGGGGGGGGGGGGGGGGGGGGGGGGGGGGGGGGGGGGGGGGGGGGGGGTGGGGGGGGGTGGGGGGGGGGGGGGGGGGGGGGGGGGGGGGGGGGGGGGGGGGGGGTGGGGGGGGGGGGGGGGGGGGGGGGGGGGGGGGGGGGGGGGGGGGGGGGGGGGGGGGGGGGGGGGGGGGGGGGGGGGGGGGGGTGGGGGGGGGGGGGGGGGGGGGGGGGGGGGGGGGGGGGGGGGGTGGGAGGGGGGGGGGGTGGGGGGGGGGGTGGGGGGGGGGGGGGGGCTGCCTGGCTCTTCCTGCGGGCTGGCCGCTGCTCTTGCTCGCGCCGACCTGGCTCTCGGGCTCGCCGACCTGGTTCTCGGGCTCGGGGCAAGTGCCGACGCTCATCATGGCCGCGACCAGCCTGTTCTCGTCGAACGGTTCGGTCGGCGCCGCATGGCTCGCACGCGTGCCCATCGCGCGCGCCATCAGCCTGTTCTGGTCGAATGGTTCGTTCGGCTCGCTCTCCTTGGGACGAGCGGCGAAGGGGCATGATGATGAGGGAGGGGGGGGGGGGCGGGGGAGGGGAAGGAGGATGAGGAAGAGGGGGGGAGGGAGGAGGAGGGGAAGGAGTGAGGAGGAGGATGAAGGGGGTGGCGGGGAGGGGGAGGAGGCAGAGGAGAGGAAGAAAGGAGGGGGAGTAGAGATGAGGAGTAGTAGGCCGAAGGTGGATAGGGGGGTAAGTAGGAACTGGCATAAGGCGGACAGAGGGTTGGGAAGAGGGAATGGGGTCACAGAGAAGAAGAGATAGAGAGAGAGAGAGAGAGAGAGAGAGAGAAGAGAGAGGAGAGAGAGAGGGAAAGAGAGAGAGGAGGAAGAGAGAGAGAGAGAGAGAGAGAGAGAGAGAGGAGGGAGAGAGAGGGATAAATTATATAATATAAGGAGAAGAGAGAGGAGAGAGAGAGAGAGAGCGAGGAGAGCGAGAAGAGGCGCAGACAAAAAAAACAATAAATGATAGAGAGAAAGAGAGATATATATAAGTGAGAGATCGAGGAGAGCTCGCATAGAGCATACTAGATAGAGAAAAGAAGCGTATAGATACTCTCGTATTGATAGAGAGAGATACTCATATGAGCTATATCAAGGCCATAGCATAGATCTCTATACCCCGAGAGAGAGAGAGAGAGGGAGAAGAGACATCATGGGACGTTACAGACCACCCTGTCTCCATCAGCTGCGTCAAGAGGGCGGCCATCGTGAAAGCGCGCGCCATGAGAGCAGAAACTGCAGGACATCCACGTCGGCGCTCGACACTTGGGATGGGTTCGGGTCGTTCGGGAACAGTTGCCCGTGGAGCATCGAGACAGCCGGAGCCTGCCGCAGGCGAGCGAGGACCTCCGCGTTGGTCTCAGTCATAGTAAATGTACCCGCGGGGATCTCTGTCATGAACGACTCGAGCCCAATCGGCCGCGTCACAGGTCACCCCGGATGCATCGGCGATGCGTCGGAGACGATCGCCCATGCACGCCAGGTCTTCTCAAGTGCATCTGCGATGCGTCGGCGCTGGCGATGCAGCGACGATCAGCGATGCGTCGGCGATGCGTCGGCGATGCTTCAGCGATGCGCCGGCGATGCACCAGCGATGTATCAGCGGTGGTCCACCAGATCCCCACCCGAAGCCTCAACGAGCACGTGCCCGAGATACGTTAGGTTTGGCTCATTCGCGTCCAGTTGGCCCCAGGCGTACCGCAAGATCCCACATTAGATTTCAACGCGGCATCCCGAAAACGGCCCCGTTGGGGCGCCGACGCAGCAGAACGCGGGGCCAGACGATGGGGCGGCACGACATAAGGGATGAGGAGGGGAAGAGGGGGTGGGGAAGGGGGCGATGATGATGACAAGGAGGAGGAAGAGCAGGAGGAGATACATAAAGGATGAGGATATAACCGTGCACGGCAGGTCAGGGGAATGGTAGAGGGGCGCTAAGGAAGCGTCCTGCCTCGGTTCCAGCGCGCCCACTGCGCGCCTACGGGGTGCCCACCAGCAGCGGGGGCCTGCGGCGCAAGCAACATATTATACACGCCTGACGGTGCATGGGGAGGGGGGCAGCATTGTTATTGCGTGTAGTAATGTTGCATGGCATATGTGCTCTCTGTTGTGCGTCCGTCTGCTCTCTCTGTCGCTCGCCCTCGACCCGATAAATTCGGCGCTCAATTGCTGTCGCATTGAAACGCAGCTTGAAACATGTCGGCGAAGGCGATGCCGAACAAAGGGGGGCATTCGCCCGTTGATTTCAATCCAGGCTTCCCCTCATAATACCCCTTACGGGGGCGCAGCGCCCACACTTTGTCGCGGGAAGATGCAGTCGCCACGGCAGGGCGCGAGCGTTTGAGATACTTCTTTGCCGCGGCTTCAGGTACCGTGGTAGAGAGGTGCACACATTTAGGACGAGCATTGCGACTGCGCGAAAAAGCGCCGAGCCAAGTGCAGAATCTAGCGCGGCGGCATACCCGCCTCAGCGATTGCATCATCGGGTGCGCATCGAGACACGACGTCGCAGGATTACAGGCGATCCGTAGCAGACGGATGTGAATGCAGATGCACCAGATGGGATACAATTTGAATGGGCCCAGGGACCATTTGGACCCTGGAGGGCCCGCCGCGACGGCACTATGACGATGGCGCTCGTTACCGATCGCCAGAGATTTTCATACATGTAATACACGCCCCTGGAGCTCAAAAGGACCCCGATCCAGCTCATGAAGAATGCCATCCAGTTGCCCGCCACAACGTATGGCCTCCTGTCGTCGCCCATTTTGTCGGATGATCTTCCCGAAGTGTTTCGTATAAGCCAACAGAACGATGTACATTCGATCCCAAGGTGAACGATCCCAGTACGCACCACCCTCATACACAAAAGTGTGGCCCAGACAAACCCTTCCACCGTCATCAAATTCTCAGTCTGGCAGTGCGCCACGTCGAACGAGGCGCAAGCGAATCCCCGACGGGCGATCTCCTTGCCAGGCTCGTCCCGCCCAGCGAATATGTGAGTGAATTGGAGGTCCCGCGTGTGCGTGCCTGGGGGGGGGCAGTGTAGTCGTCTTGTCATCGTTCCCTCATGCCCCCATCCTCGTCCTCGGTCTCCTCCTCCTCATCCTCGTCATCTTCTCATCCTCCCCCTCCTGGCGCTGCTCGCGCGTGCGGGCGCGCTGCTCCTCCTCCCCGTATGCCCTCGCCCTCCCCCTCTTCCTCATCCTTCTTTCTTGTCCGCCAGCCAATCCTCCTCCTCCACCACCACCACCTCCTGCGTTCCTTGCATTAGACGCAGCGTCGCCGATGCACCGACGACTGCCCCGGACGCGACGCCGTCGCGACGTCGACCGCTGGCAGATTGCCGATGCATCGCCGATGCGCCGACGCGTCTGAAGGCCCATTCGGGCCCGCTCTTTCTTTAGAGGGGTGGGGCGGGTCATTGGATCCGAGCCTTGTTCTAACAGCGAATTCGCCGTTCGGAGAGCGAACGAAGCCAAGTCGTGAATCGGCAGGTCGGGGGGGTGCCGCTGGAATTGCAGAGCCAAGTCGGCGACGAGTGGGTCGACCGTCGCCTCGACGATCGTCGGCGAGAGCAGGCCCGCAAGCAAGGGCGCGCCGACCAACGTCGCTCTCGTCATCAGGGGCGAAGAACAACTAGTGTTTGGGCCGCGAAGCGCCCTGTCCCAGATATCGTTGGAGATCAATCCTGTCCCAAAGACCCTCGTCAAAATCGCCGTAAGATGACTGCTCCGCAAGTCGAGCCAACATGCAATTCAGAGATTCATCCCTCCAGGTTGCGTATGTGCGTGGGTGACCCATGTCAAACATCCTTGTGGGCAGGGGGGGGGGGGTACCAAATGGGGGCGAGGCGTCACATCATATTGGGCAGTATTGGACACGCATGCGCCCACGAGCTAACATCCCACAGGAGGAAACGCGTGATACCAGGAGGGTACAGTCGGAGGGTGGCGGGAATGGAGGAGAGGGGGAGGAGGTGGGTGGTTGGGGGAGGAGAGGAGAGGGGAAGGGAGGGGAGATGAGAGAAGAGGAGAGGAGGAAAGGATACCCCCCTTACCGCAATCAGATCTGCGCCTGATACGGGCGCGTCGCTTGCCCGAGGGGAGGTGAAAGTCCCGACGCCCCCGACAACGGGATCGACCTATACGTCGAGGCCAGGGCACCGCTCTTCTGATTGCGTTTCGTGTTGCTCGCTTCCCGCCATCCGTCACGTTCGTCGTCGCACGCTCGATCCCCCGCGCCACTAATCCCCGCCGCGATCCTCATATCCTCGATCCCTCGCCACCTCCATCAAAGCCGAACGCTCTCAAGGTACCAGGCAAGGACGCAAGACAACATCATGTCAGTGCAACCTTGCTCGATTGCGATAGACTGACTGACGGCGTGGATACGAGGCAAGGATGCATGGGCACATGATGGCATCGAGTTTCATGCCCGCGGGTCCTCTCGGTCATATGCCAAAAAGAGATGATGCTTTGGCTTTCCCTTTACTCCTGCGCGATCCAGCGCAATCAAGTGGTTGAGACACAATTCTTCTAGTCGATCACACGACTCGCGCGTGAGGGCGCCTGGCTGGCCATCCAAGTATTCGTTCCATCGATGCAGATACTGTGCACACTGGAGCAACCCAGTTCCTTTAACAATGTGGCCACACTCGTTGGGCAAAAACTTCTGGACGAACGCCGTGAACAACCGCAACGTTTCATGTGCTTTCGTTTTGACGAATGGTTTAGTTCGACTCCCAAACATAGCAGCTTGGATGTTGTCAACCTCGCTCGGGTGGTGACCGAGGCGTCTCTGCTCGGCATACCACGGCTTAAGCTTGGATGATATCCGAGCAGCGGCCTGAGGATGACAGAAGCAACGGCACTGGACGTGCGCTGACAAGACGCATTGCCAGGCGCAAGCACATCACCTTGCGGGCAGTTGCGAGAGGATGGATGCGGAGGGGCAGGAGGTGGAAGAGGAGAGTTGAGTTGAAGAAGGAAAGGGAGAGATGTCGCATTGGAGATGTGATTGCGTCATGACTTATTTCGAACTACAGCCGAGCCTGGGCCTCTCGGGCGAATGCCGTGCCGACGCCTCCGACGCGCTGCGAATCCACTGACCGCCAAAAGCATTCCAAAACAATGAACCCCATGGCACCAAGTGCAACTGCATGCAGAAAGTCTACAGCAAACGACGTACACAGAGAGAGGCCCAACTCTCTCGCCCACAAAGGGTTGCGATACTTCATCAAGGTTTCGCTACTTGTCCGCCAAAAGCGGAGTTTTGTGGGCGGCGTGATGTCTGTGCATTTTGAAGTGTTTGGTAAGTTGGGTTGTGGATGCAGCCTGTCGCCTGCGAGCAAGGGCTCGGAAGCGGCATTCAAACGCGGCACTGGCTTAGTAATGCGCAAACCGCCACCTGTGTTGGTCTTCCGATTG